AACTTGCATATTTCGAGAGCAACAAATTAGCAACAAATTCTTATATTATTGTTATGTACAATTTTGTTGCTATATATATATTGTTCCGCTAACTTAATCTTCCTTTAGCGGAACATCATTTTTTTTTAAAACTTACAGAGCAACAAATTTTTTTCTTTGGCAACTTTTTAGCAACAAATGAGCAACGAATAAAAATATTAATTAGAATTGATTCTGCTCATTTTGTTCCGCTAACTTATAAGACGTTCGCTTAACTATCTGAAAGATTAGATATTATTGATACGTGAAAAACATTAAATATCGTAATATCACGAGTATTCCTTACTTTTGCGCGCATGCATGGAACGTGCGAACGCAGTGGCTATCGGTGAAACCGCGGCGAGATAAGGTAGCTGCTATCGCAAATGTGACGATGTAACCGGAGGTAGCCAAGCCTTACCGTCCACGCGAGAACATCGCCGGCTTCCTTTCCGCATGACCACACAACGCGCGTTCGTGTCGACATTACCACTCGTCAATTGGGCTCTTGAAAGATTCGCAATTAAACGTATCTTAAGACTCGCGCATCCGGAGCTCGCTGATTGCGGATTAACAATCAATTTCTTTTCGTTTGAAATTTACAGCTCTTAGAAAAAGTTTACCGTCCCATAAAATGTCATTAATATTTCTAAACATGATGTTTTCGCGTTTTATCATCTCATTCGTTATTACAGTCTGCTTCGATGCTTCGTGTAAATTTTTCTCTCTTCCGCGTATAATTGCGATAGCTATTGAGTAGAAAATGATGTTGTTATATTCAAATATATAAGAATAATAAAAAGGAATTTTAATAAAATATTTGTTGCTTTCGCATCCGAAAAAATAGAGAAGTCTAATAATAGTTATTAAGAATAGATTGAGATATAAAATAAATGGAAAGTGATAAAAATGAGCTCTCGATACTTTAATGACAACTTTACGTCGCAGTTCCGTGACGGTTAAGACTAGGTTTCAATTTTCCGATGATTTTTTTTCCTATTGGTACCGCATAAACGAGTTTACGCGCGCACGTGCTGATCCGGTCGCCGATAATAGTGATCGATACAGGAATAGATGCACCGTGAAAGTAAAATCTATGAGGCAAATTGAGGAGGTATAATGTTATTGCACGAGTACGGCAGACGGATCTCTTCTTCTTCGACAAATCAACCTTTAAAGAGCGCCGTAAACGCGACGCGATTTCGCAAAATGTGAAAACGAAGCTTTCCGCGCGCTCCGCGTTCTTCCCCTCTTCTGTCATCGAACACGCGAGCGTTGACAGGTCTCTTTATTAAACGACTTTGAAACAATCAATATTTATTGTCGATACTCCGATATCTACAATACCTTTCGGTTTCGTTAGCTGGCAAATAGAACTCGAGACTTTCTCTCGAGAAAAATTTGATTATTTGTCTCATAGGTATTATTTCGCAACTTTACATTCAAATATTTCTATTGTCATATCAAAAATTAATTAATTTAATAATTATATTTAAAAATTAATTATATTTAATAATTTTATTTAAGCTATATTTTGAATTAATTATAAAATATTGTTAGGAATTAGGATGAGCATAAAACCAAGAAGAATGTATATATGTAAACTCTTGTTATTTATTTATACATTTTTTGAACCGTACTTAGATCACGTGTATCTCTTTCTCTGCAATCTTGTAAATAAAATGTGATTGACGTTTCGATAATCTTAAGAACGATTTACCTGAAAGTTTCCGTAGCGCACGCGACGTAGAATAGTATCACTGCTTTATTTGCCATGCGTAAGTTCATCGACCGGCCGCACGGAAAATGTTTTTGCGCTTGCGCTTGCTATTATTGTAACGGTGTAGAAAATTAGTCACGATGCCATGGCCTGCAGAAGAATACACTGTCGAGCACGCGCTCGGTGCAACATACTCGCCATAGCGCGACACGCAACCTTAGAATTCAAATTATGATCAATTGTGATGCTACAATTTATTCCTATTTAACTTTAAGTCATTAATATCGATCGATCGCCGAGGAAATGGATATGAAAAATTTTTGTCGAATTGATTTTTATTATCATAAAATTTGTTCACTCTAATGAATTTATCAGGCGAATTAATTTTTTTTTTTTAAGTTGAAACTAGAAGATGTCTTAATCCAAGTATTGTAAGAATATCTCATAGATAAAAATTGATAGATCACATATCACACAGATAATTTCTTTCCATTCTCAGTAACGCGATCAACTCGTTGAAATTTTCCCATGAAAATGACTAAATTACGTATAAAAATATTTTTACTTATAAAGAGAGACTCCGGCCACGTTATAAAGATATTTATTCAAATCGATTTTTTTTTCATCGAGAAATTTGTAAGAGAAATTAATGACTTTTGTTTAATTTCACGATTCAATTTTCACGACGTATTAATCTTGGAAAAGAAAATACTTATTCTAGAATTGTTCTAATCGGGAAATCTCTCGGCTAATCGGTTTTCCAACGCTTCCTTTTTCCGCCAGCGTTCCTGCCAATTGAGCCATCGCAAATATGCTTTTTAAACAGGAAATAATTACAGGGAAGGTTACATTGTATGTATACCGACGCGCGTTGCGTGACTAGATCTTCGAAGATGGGATAACGCGCGTCGCGTTCTTTACCGTAAAGCCGGGCTCGTTCCTATTTACACGAAGATGATTAGGGTGAGGGCACGTTGATGACATGCACGGATTGCGGAACGTATCGCAGACACTTCCTAGAATCGCGCGCGTTACCGATCGCCGTTTATCGCGATTATACTCATCATCCATTCGTCTGATCCGTAATTGTAACTCTTGTTGTTACGCGGCCGCGAGACATTTCTCGCGTACGTCGATAAATCCCACGTTTCACAGATCACGCTAATCTTATCGCGTGCGTCATACAAACAGGAACTGTACCTTCTCCGTCAAAATTTTTAACTCGATATTTTAAACGACGGATGCATCTCGAACACGTCGAATGACTATCCGATGAGTGATATTAAAAATTCGAGAAAATTTTTGAAAGTTGTTTTCTATTTCATACGTTATTTTCTGAATATTTTAACAACGTTACGGAATTTTCAAATTCTTTTTTATTCGATATGTAGCATTTGTCATACATTTATCATAAGCTACATGAAATATTAGCCGACATTTAATATGTTAAATTATGATGATACTTGGCTGCGTATTCGCTGGCTGACCTATAGAAAGTTTCAAGGATTCAACAGGCATACAAAAGAGTTTGTACAGACTCGAAAAATTGTCAATTCGACAGGCTATTAACATGTTTGACAAAGTCGTTTGACAACGAATTACGATATTGGTCTTACCGTGAGGTTTCTCCTCCTCCGAGAACAAAACATGCGTTAATTAACGTGAAAGTCGCCTCGGTTGACATCAGGCTTTCATTTTCAACTTGAAAAAGACAGAAACGAATTTAAATAATATATGAAAAATTCAAGTCTTGAGAAGCGCCATCGAAGAAAGCGGAAAGTCGTCGGACAGACAGGAAATACGATGCCGCGACGCTCGTTTCGACAATCCTAAATCACAATGTTTCATCACGGGCGCGAGCGAGCTCATGCGAGTTGGGGCCCGACCGGTACGACCGAGGGCCTTAGGAGTTCAAAGGTTATCTTATGTCATGGGAATGTTCGACGAGGCGCGTACATAGGTACCGGTGTTGAGTTGCATGATTCGCGTGTGTGCAACTTTATACGACATTGTTTAGGCATGACTGCGTGTTCCGTCAAATTTCTCGTTTAACGCGCGAATTTTCAAGTTATATGTATATATATATTTTTTAAAAAATTTTAATAGCAACGAATGACATGCGTCGAGATAATAATAATACGCGCGATAACACGACGAAAATTAATTAATCCCCGATAAATTGTCAGGTAATTGCGCGTATGTCATTTTGCAGCTTAATTACGGTACATCATATATGGATATACGCTCTATTACAATTCTATTTGTAACGCTATACAGGTTGCAATTTCTGATAGAAGATAAAGCGAGTGCCATGTTATTTTACACGAATACACCCGTAAATTTTTACGTATACGCGGGAAATTAATTTCCAGTACATTTTCATTCATACAACGCACAGTACATTCACTATTACACAGCGCAGTTGGTAGATACTCGGTTTATAAACAGTATTATATACTATACTATATTTTGTGAAAAAAACGCGTTGAATAAATTAACACACTGTGAGATCTCTCGATTGCATAATACAAGAAATCTGCATACGTTAGAGTTTTAGAAATAAATTAAAAAATCATTAATTATATACTCTATTAACATAATTAATATAATCAAACGGAGTTATACAAGACTAAAAAAATTAGATTATATGTATAATTCCATCTTTAATCTTCAATCGTATGCCTTTCCATTATGCAATGTGTCACGAGTATATTAAGTCACACGTCTATCATGGTCAATTAATTTTTAACGTCGCTTACATAATCACCTTATTTAATAGGCAGATATGAATGTAATATTGCAATAATTAATTTTTTTCAACGAAGAATTCTCTATTTCTGTTTCAGGATTCATCAATTGCAACGCCGCCAACACTCTGCAATCGCTCGCTCAGCTACATGGTGAGTGAAAACTAGTTGTTAATCCTTCTTTTTCCCTTTCTCCATATCTCCCTCGTATGTATATCTCCGTGTTACGTTTATATATCGCTAGAAGATGATCGCCGAGAGGAGTCATCGGATTCAATTAAAATTTGTAGTTACGTAATGTGTCCGTGTCTACAAGAGAGGTATGAGCGACTTCCTGGCGCGACGACGGCAATCGGGGAAACGCGGCCTTCCTTTGGCGTGACGTTCACTTCCTCTTTCTTCATCGTAATCACCATATCGGGGAGGGAAGTGTTCTTCGACCGCAACCTGTATTTTATGCTCCCAGAATGCTCGGCGGCGGCGAAAATTCTGTTCTTTTGATTTAGCGCGAAGGTCTCTAGAAATTTCACGATCTCCTCGCCGCGTTTTCTGCTCGCGAATCGAAATGGCAAATTCAACGCCAACACGTACATCCGAAGAGCGTGTTTTGATTTGTAGATAGTCCGATATATTCACAGATATATCGACGACCCGTAAATCGTTACGTAAAAGGATAATTCGGCTTGCTTTTTTCGTTCTTCTCACTCAATCGTGAAAATATGAAAAATATATCAGACTATCATATGTTTTTAATAACATTTAATAACAGTGTTTAAACAATATCGACGTTTTATACGGATGCTTAAATATATGCGATACGATCGTTGCGTGAAAAGATTGTTATCCGAAAAATACAACAGCTGACGCGATCGCTTCGGTTTTTACATCGTGATATTCCGCTGACGTGTTTCGCCAAAGAAAACACGCGCGCAGAGAACGAATTTTCTTAAACAAATTTTATTACCTCCGGGAGATGGGAGAGGAAGGTTTGATAAATATACAACGGGCACTTTAATTAAATCTCGTAATGTGTGTCGGCGCGTCCGCGCTCGTTCATGTCATTGATCTTGAGCCCCCGCTCGCACCCAGACTCTTGGATCGTAAAGATGTCTCGGTGCAATTTCTCCTCTCGCGGTGTTGGTCATTAACACGACAAAGGCTTATGCCGGGAAATGCGGCCGCGCGAGTGCAAGAAGGACGGATTTATTTTTGTGACGTCGCGAATCCAAAAGTAGCTGTCAGGTACTTATGGACGAGTCACGGAGGCGTTTCGGATTTCATTCTCCCGTCTAAGGGAAGTGTCGGATCTCTGTATAAAACTCTCGCGAGCATGTTACGCGTGCGGTCGTATAACGTATGCGACACTTATCTTTTTATCGACCGACTTTTGGGAAACATTTTATGTCTCCATGGCATCTTAAAAAGTTTGGTGATATCAGTTTCAAGACATTAAGAAGCTAAAAATAGTATTTATATGAGGAAGTTTACAAAGTAAAAATTTTTTTCAATCTGTCTATATTACAATAATTGTAAAAATTTGTAAAAGGAGTCACTCGAAAAAAGATGCTTGAAGGAATCTTAATTATATATTCTGATGTATAGGGATATTATATTTTTTGAAGATCTTTTTTATTATTGCAATATATTATAGTGCGTGTAATTTCTTAGAAAACTGCACATAAATATTGGCTGATATTTTATTACACATATACCATTGAAACTTATTCAGTATATCGCAAAGACATTTATGTCTTTTTTTATAGCTCATTACCGATGCGTTGGAGCGCGTTGACATGTATCCGGGAAATCTTTTAGGGTCGAAATTAATCGAGTTCGTGTCGCGGTCGTATCGTCATTTTACGTCAGCATAAGCGGAAAAAAAACAACACGCGTTTAGTATTTCGGTCAGAAATTTTCCATTCGACATGAGACACAAACGAGCTAATTAATTCTCTGATGCACTTTGGAAGTTAAAACGAGCCGTTGATAAGCCCGCATTCGCACACACATATTACGTGCTACGCATAATTTGCTTATCGCGCGTGTACGATTTCAGTAACAATTGGGCTAAATTGCTGAATGAGATTTTCATCATATTTTATACCGATTGTACTAACTCAGAGAATGGATATTAATATTTTATCGTCGCGTTAAATTACACTACGTGAGTGTAATATATAAATTAATCACCTCCTGTCAAAATGTATGAGTAGCTCTAAAATTCTTTGAGGAAAAGGGTGCCAAAGTACCATTAAACTTTTCCTTCACTTTATCTTTATCACATAGCGCTAACAAGATCTCGCGAACAAGACTGTCGACTGTCATAACTATACACACATATTCTTATCTTAATTCCTCTGCAATGTTACGTAGATAAATATACGTGCACGTGTCTATGATACGCGTGTATAAATATTCCATAAGCCACGACGCGTAACATGTTTATTATACGCGCAAGAAAGAGAGAGAAAGAGAGAAGTCACGTACCGCGCGCATACATAATACAGTTACGAGCGGGTTGCACGTTAAGTCGACTCGCTACCTGTATAACCGACTACATTACCATATATATTGATCCAACCTAGAAAACGCGCCCATAGAATCGCCCTCCGCCAGACCTTCTCGGTCTCGGCATTTTTTGACAATGTGTCGTCCTCGGTTACGCTTCTCGGCTTTTTTTTTTTTTTCACGGTCTGCGAATCGCCTCGCTTTCCTGTGTGCCGGCATTTTTTGAGCCGACATTGAATTATACACCCGCGTTTGACGTCGATCCTATTTGTCGCAGAGTTTCTATAATAAAATTATTGTGCCTACACACGATACAATTAAGGACACCGCGACTTTCATTCCAGATTTAAATCATTTTTCGCTGCATACGATAAGTTTGAAGGGTCGTTAGCGTTTATCGTGTCCAAAGTATACAAAGCTGTACAAAAATTATTTTATAAATTATTTTATTAAATTATTTTATTTATTATTTTTTATACGCTTGTGAAAATATTTATCTCCACATGTGCTGCACGTAACGAAAGGAAAAAAAAAAGATCTGTTCTTTGAATTCGTTGCGTCGTAAACTCTTCTCGCACGTAATTCCTGATTTATATTTCATGAGCGAGTCCCCTTGTCATATATGTATATTAATTGCATTCTATCTCGCGCGATACACGTGCTCTCCGCGAGCTAATCGACAGACGCGTGTGTTAAATTACGGAGTAGTAAAAACGGCACCGTCAGTGTCAAGTGTTAAAAGTGAAATGTTGAAGGAATCTTCCTTCTCGTGGGCATGCATTCGGCTGAAAGAATTTTGCTGATAACATTGCGCGTTTTGCAGGTGCAGCGCGAATTCCTGCCGCCGCAGATAGTTGCGTAATCCGCGATCCGCGTCCGGTTTTGAACCGGAGAGCTTTACGTTGCGTTTTAAAAAAAATGCATCATTTATTAATTACTTTTTTTTTTTTTTTCATAGACTTGCGCGCAGAAATGTGTGCGAGAATGAAAAATGCGGTGTAGTCGTTAAAAATCACCGCAATATTTATTGCGCGAGGGAAACGTCACGACGGAGAATTTACATTTGCAGGCAAATATATGATTGGCATACGGGGAAACTCAATTAGTATCACGATACCGGGAATGATTTCCGATGCAATTTGTAATCGTAATAAAAGCTGTTATAAGCTCGACGAGATACGGAAACTTTCAATCTACAGCGAGACGTTGCGACTACTTGTTTATGTTAATCGTCTTTTATGCTCGCTGAGACATGAATTTCAGTCCGAGCGGATCCGAATATTAATGCACCCCCATAAATAAACATTACCTGTGCGTTGCCGCGATATTTCGCTATATATTCGTAAAAATTCACTCAGTCGAAATTTTTTTGGCATTCTCATATCGCAAAAATTTGAAAAAATAACATTGGGTATTTTTTACAAAATTTATGATTGCGAAATAATACACGATCATAATTTTTCAATATCTTTGAAATCATCTTTATTTAGGGAAAATATCATTACCATTCAATGCGCAATTTTTTAAATATTTAATATGTTAAATATTCTTGATTTTTAAATTAAGATTTATAATATATTCTTGGTATCACGTGGAGTTATATGTCAGATTGAAAATTCAAGTCATCCCGCGAATTTATCGTCATAACGTTCTTTTCGTTTTATTGTAGGATACGGACGTTATCGTTCCTTTTCGCGTGTTCCTTGGAGAGCGCACGACGAGAATTTTCTATCGACGTTTCCCGACGGTGCTATACTTCTTGCCCGGGGAACGAACGTGGCCTGAAATTACGCGAGCATGCACGGGGAACGAGCATGCGTGACAGACATGCCCGAAGTCCTCCGGTGATGGGACGACGATTGTGTGTACACGGCTCTTACAGCGTGAAAGACACAACCGCGAAGGAGGGAGAAGGGGGATACATTTCGTAATTAATACATCGTTTTCGGTAGGTCTCTCTACTCATCTGTACCTCTGTCGGGATGCGAATCGCCTCGTATTTTCGCGTCATTTCTATTCATAAATTTTAATTAAATATTATAATTTACGTGTTGACATGCGAGATGAATTTCTCTTATCTTATTATCAGAAAAGATATTTTTATTTTGTGGTTGTATCGATTTTTCACAATTACAATGCGCCAGACTCTCTTCTTCTCGCTCTTTTTCTCGTCTCTCATCTTCTCTCGCGTCTGACTTTCATCTACCTCACGTGCTCAGCTTCGTGCCTATGCGCTTTCGAAGAATCGACGCGAGTTTCAAAAGAATGATCGTTAGACTCTCCACAATAGCAACCGCGGGTAATTAACTTCCTGGCCGGATCCAGTGTTGCCCTGACTGAACGTAGAGCTGGGACATAATATTGTGCAAGTATGTGCTTTTGCCGCCTTGAATTGAACACGAGCGGAACCTCTTTTTAGGTCTTTTGTAAAATCTGAAATTATAGCTTAATCATAAATTTTGCAATAATCCATAAAATATTATTATGGCGACAATTTCATAATCTCGGAACATATGAATAAAAAATCGTATAAAAATGATAAAAGAGTTGCAGTTAGCGCTATTTTCAATTTTTTTTTTTTTTTTTTCTTGAGAGAATCGCAACTATACAGAGAGATTATATATTTAATGATTACACTTTATCAC